GGAGCCAGAGGAATGGAGGGTACGAGCAGGTAAGTAGGGGGATAGTAGGTCAGAGAGGTAGGAGGGAGCAAGGCCGTGAATGGCCTTGTAGGTGAGGATGAGGATCTTGAATTCGATCCTCTGGGGGATGGGGAGCCAGTGGAGGCGAGCGAGGGTGGGAGTGATGTGTTCCCGAAGCCTGGTGCGGGACAGTACACGAGCTGCAGAGTTCTGAATGACCTGCAGCTTGTGGAGGGAGGTGCCGGGAAGGCCGGCGAGGAGAGAGTTCCCATAGTCCAGCCTTGAGGTGATAAAGGTGTGGACCAGAGTTTCAGCAGCGTGAGGGGTGAGGTAGTGCCGTAGTCTGGTGATGTTCTGGAGGTGATGGAAGGCTGTGCCAGTTGTGGTGCGGATGTGGGGAAGAAAGGACAGCTCAGGGTCGAACAGAACCCCGAGGTTCCTGACGGCTTTGAGAGGTGGAGAGTGCAGCCTTGGATGCTGATGCTGTCAGCGCCTGAGGTGCGGAGGCGCTGACGAGAGCCAATCAGGAGGGCCTCAGTTTTGCACACGTTGAGCTGAAGAAAGTTGTCTCTCGACCAGGACTCAATGTCAGACAGGCAGGCTGTCAGGACATCGGTGGTCGTGGAGTTGAGGGTAGAGGAGGAAAGGTAGAGTTGGGTGTCATCCGCATACATGTGGAAGTTAACCCCATGTCTGCGGATGATGTCACCAAGGGGGAGCATATAAAGGGGGAGCATCTACCCTTGGCCCCTCCTTCCCCATCTTCAGGTCACACCTGAAGACCTTTTTCGACTGTGCCTATGGTCACCTCTCCCCAGCTCGGTATCATGCTCCTCCAGCTGCAACTCCCAAGTTCGCCGATGTTCTGTCAACTTATCTGGCAAAGATCAGGGCCTGGATGAGCGCAAACTTCTTGCAAATAAACGTTGACAAGACCCAAACTATTCTCTTTGGCTCCACTCAACGTCTTCTATCCTGCGCTCTAACCTCCTCAATCTCCTCGGCCTATCCCTCAGACCTACAACAACAAAATTGCATTTATAGAGCGTCTTTCACGTCGGGAGGGCATCCCAAGGTGCTGGACAGTCAGGAGTCAGGACCTGAGCGGGGGGGGGGGGGGGGGTGGGGTAGTGGTGAGGGAAGGCAGAGAGGTGGGAGGGCGACCGAAGGCACGATTGAAGAAGAGGGTCTTGAGACCAGCCTTGAAGGAGGCAAGAAAGGTAGCGAGGCGAAGGAACTGTGGGATGGAGTTCCAGAGTGTGGGGGCAGAGGCTGAAAGCTCAGCCACCGATGGTAGGGTGGGTCGGGCGGGAGACATGGTGCAGGCCGGAGGGAGCGGGCAGGTTGGTAGGGAGTCAGCAGGTCAGAGAGGTAGGAGGGGGCAAGGCCATGGATGACCTTGAAAGTGCGGACGAGGATCTTGAATTCGATCCGCTGAGGGATGGGGCGCCAGTGGAGTTGGGTGGGAGTGATGGGGTCACGGAGCCTGGTGCGCGAGAGTACATAAGTTGCAGAGTTTTGGATGATCTGCAGCTTGTGAAGGGAAGAGGTGGGAAGGCCGATGAGGAGGGAATTTCCATAATCGAGCCTTGAGGTGACAAATGCGTGGGTAAGGGTTTCGGTAGCCTGAGGGATGAGGCAGTAGCGGAGTCTGGCAATGTTGCGGAGGTGGCGGTAGGCAGTGCCGGTCATGGCGCAGATGTGGGGGAGAAAGGACAGTTCAGGGTCAAACAGGACACCCAGATTCCTGACTGGTTAGTGAGGTTGAGTGTGCAGCCGTGGAGGCTGATGCTGCCAGCGCTCGAGGTGCGGAGGCACTGGCGCGAGCCGATCAGGAGGGCCTCGGTCTTGCTGACGTTCAGCTGGAGAAAGCAGAGGCCATAACAAAGCAAACTGAATACTTAGTTTTATATCTAGAAGCATAGGGTGACAAAGAAATGAGGTAGCATTGAACTTGCAAAGGACCTAATCATTAAATAACAATAAAATTCCATAAATTTGATATAATGCCTTTCACGTCATAAGGGTGTTGCAAAGCATTTCACAGGATATATTGTGAAGTGTAGACTGTATATTTTCTAGGAAGACACAAAGAGAATCAGAAGGGAAGGTTAGAAAAAAATTTCCCCAATTCAGATTATAGTTGAAATGTGGTATTTCTGACATAGATTGTTGTTGAGGCAGAGTCCATAATGTACAAGAAATATTTTTAATTATACTAACAAGGAATTAGCTGGATGCTTGAAAAAGAATATTAAAGGTCCTTGGGAGTGAGCATGAGAGTGGGCATTAGATGTTCTGTCCACAGGTGACTCACTCCTGTGGATGGAACACCAGGGCAATCTTGATGGGGTAAATGGCTTATTTCTGTCTGGTAATATTCTACAAATATTGTGCGGCATTGACAGCCTTGTATGTTTTAAATTTAAAATTATGATGTATACCTAAGAGAGTAAGGTATAAGTTGAGGTGATTTTTAAATTGTATCTGCACTTGGTAAGACCATATGTGGAGCACTATATGCAGTTCTGACCCTGTGCTTCAAAGAAAAGTTCTAGTTTGTGAAGGGGCAGAAGGACTGCCAGGATTCAGGGAACCGATTTATGAGGAAAGATTGGTTTATGAGAAAAGGAAAGAGGGGTGCTTGATAAAGGTGTTGAAGATTGTGAAGCGTTTGGACAAATTTAGATGTAGCTAAGTTTTTTTTCTATTGTCTATAAACTTTAAAAAGTGGGAGACATAGATTTAGAATAAGGACAACAAAAGTTAATAGTGAAGAAAAGTGAAAGAAATAAGCATGTGGAACAAGCTACCATAAAGGGTATCAAAAGAGAACTATATAAGTTCTTGGAAATTAACAAAGGTTCACATTTTTAAGGAAGCTGGAATGGTAGACTGGATGGCCCAATTGTCCATTCCTCTCTGAAACTGTTATGTTCAGTGGAATCTGAAACTTGAGATCAACCCTTTTCTTCTGTATGGTAGATGACTACAACCTGGTGTAGCCAAAAGCAGTCTGAGTTAAGGTTGGATGTTTCCATAGCTTCACGCAGTGTGGAAAGGTTTAGAGAAATTGTGGTTGAGTACAAATCAGCTAATTCACAGACTTCCCATAATAACATCAATATCTCAGTTGCCTTACTTTAACAACTTGGGTTGACTTCAACTGGTGTGTCTGGGTTGCCTACATTGGAGCTTCTCGTTCAAGGGACACTGTCCCAGAATATTATTAATTGTGTCTGTTAATGAAGAATTTCTGAACAGAGGTCTCTCTTTCAATAATTAAGTTAAAGTACATGTATTTGGAAAAAAATGTTGAAGAGGGTGACCCTGGTCAGGTGCTGATGAATGATGTTACTGTAGGAATATATGGTTGATGTGTTCGATTGTAACATCACATCTGCTGCATCTTTCTGTTTCCTTGCATCCAACAATAAAGTTTGATGATGACACATAGACTTCTGATAGACATGACGCAAGTGGTTTATGCAAACTACCAGGTTCAGTATAAAACCCAGATTTTCATAACCTTTTTGAGTTTCAAACAATATGTCACTTGTTTACCCTGTGTATCTTTACCCGCTGCCTTGTTATATAAGTAGGAGGCAGTTTGTCATCTTCTGATTAATTTGTTCAATAAAAATGGGTTGTATTTTAAAATGTTATCTGTTCTGAATTGTAATTTTTAATTAATTGAACTATTACAACTCTGTATATAGTTGAACATTACAACTATACATGGAGTTGTCATACTTGGCTGCTCATTTTATTTTAGCACGAGTAGTAATGTATTTCAAATAGTGTGAAGATGTGTGTAAGATACTGTGTAAGATCGTGTGTAAGATACTGTTGTTATCTTACACAGGATTATCCAGGCCCATATCTCTGCTGACCTCATCTTTTTCACTCGTTTGGGTTCAATAGCTATAGTCAGTCAAGAAACTCGTTATACTTTGGGTAGGAATCCAAATGATATCAGATCTGGTAATTTTGTAATTCACTTCATGGCTGTTTGTGAGACACTGCTGTGCTCACTGCCATATTTGCCCACAATGCACACAATCTTGAAGGAAATTAACAGGTGCACATTACGCATTTCCTTTTACATTTCTAAACTGAAAGCAGTAATATATTGCCATGTTTATAATATGATCACTCAGTTCCTGTTAACCCAGTAAGCCTAAGTCAAGGATGTGACTATGGCTTACACCTAACAGGTTGGGTGGTCTTAGTGGGACAAGCAGCATGAATCTTGCCAGACAGTGCTTTCAATGGCAAGTTATGTGGTTTTACCTGGTTAGACTTCAGCAGCACCCCACACACACTCTGGGGTCCCCAAGCCTTGGCACTTGCCAACCTGCGCCTAAAACTCTCAGAAATTAGACAGAGTATGTGCTCCTCCAGAGAGAGAGTGTGCTGTTTTGTTCCACACACAAGGCAATGTGTATTCAAATCAGACTGAGTTTCCCATATGTATGCCACCTACACATGGAAATTTATGTGTGGAACTCACAGTCTGGTTTGGATACTCATAAGCATGGTGATGGGTTTCTGCATGTATTAGACACCTAGATGACAAAGAAAAAGATATAATATGTAATTATCACTTTTATTTATAATAAAGATGAAGCTACACACCGTTTAATTGTTCCTAGACTGATTCATACCCCAGTACTCATGAGAGTGATATCTTGTCACTTATTGTGAGTGCCACTCATTCATAATAAGAATGAGGCTTATTCGCCGTTTATCACGGGGTCCCTGGCATGCATCTTACACAATACATACACACACTCATTATGCATGAGTTCTAACTTTTAACCTTTATAACCAATGTCTAGATACTATTTCATACATTTTTTTCAAGAGACATTCTGATTGTATAAATGTTGGGCTTTTTTCCTATAGCATTCCCATATTAACTTAGTCAAACTAATGTTGAATTATAAACAAACTGTGGTGGCAAATAAATTGGAAGTGTGTTTTTATTTCTGTTGCAGGTTTGCTTGTGTTGGCGCCTTTTATTGGTACTCATTTCTATTTGCATTGAAGCAGAGTGCAGGAATTGACTGTCCATCCGTCCATAGTGAGTTTCTTTCTAATATTAATAAGGATTTGCTTGCTATTTCAATTTAGTAGCTGAATAAAAACCTGAATGCTTTTATTGACTACTTTGAATAATGAATACCGAGCAGATTCAGTAGCATTTCTTTCTTGTGTATTATACTCCTAAGCTTGTACATGACTAACATTTTCCTCTTCTAATCCAGTATAGCACTGTCTAGATGGTATGCTGTCTATTAGTCAGTTGGAAAACAAACTATACCCATGGAACCGGACAATGATATTGCATTGGATATTTTGATAACAAATGTAGTCTGTGTCTTTAAAACAAGATGTCATTTAAATCTGCGAAAGATTGCACTGGAAGGAACTAATGTAATCTACAAGAGAGATGTTGGGGTAAGTAGCAGTCAGTACAAATGTCTTTTGACATTCACTTGCTTCAAACTGCCTGGATTTGTTTTGTGCTGGTCAATAGTGTCTGTCGTAGTACATAAACATGCAACTCAGCAAAGAAAAAAATAGTAAATTCTTGGCTGTATTTAACTAAGGTGATTTAGTTAAATAATAATTAGCATTTAGCTTGCCAAATGATTTTCACAATTAATCTGACCCTAATGCAATGCTATGAAAGGAGTGCACAATTGCATATGATAGATTTAGTAATACCGGTTTATTCTGGGTTTAGGCACACAGTGATGCAGAAGGACTGAAAAAGAAATGGGTACAGATAAAAATACTTGCCTGTTACTTTTAAATCCACTGACTAAACAGCAGCAACTGTGATTCAGAATAGCAAGCAAAACTGAATTAAATTGCATGTATCTGATGCCTTATAGTGGATTTCAGTCACTCAAAATATTTTTAGATTCTTGTCCTTAATCTAATGAAAGAGTAATACAGTATTAGGCTCAATATTATATAGCCATGGTACCCCTTCTATTTTGCTCAAATTGAAATCTTTTCTTTGGTGTGCATTACACTTTTTAGCTGATGTCCTTATCTCTCTCTTTTGCTGAAATGCTGAAGATCCCACACCACTAAGAGTAGAAAGCTTGAGAAACCAATCCTGACATAGTAACCAGAGGCTGTTTTCTAGTGGCAAAACTTTGCTTCAGCTTATCAAGTATCATCTGTGCATCAATCATTTGATTGATTGAACCATTTCTATAAGTATGAAATGCATCTGCCTTCAAACTGTTTGAAGAAATATAATGCATTCAACATTATTAAAAGTTGTACAAGCTCGCAATTGTATTTTTGTTAACATAATGTTCACTAAACTAGCTGGTAGGAACCGTTAAGAATTAAAAAAATTTATATCACCTTATCAGATAATTAATGCCAAGTGTAGTGCCTGTTTTTGTGGTAAAGGTAGCAGCCAGCTCCCACCCAGCCAGCACTAACCAGCTCCCACAAACACCCTGAGGAAATATCTGATTATTGGCCAGGACACCAGGAAAACCCTTCTGTTTGAATAGTGTCACCTAAAAAAGTAGACAGGATCTTGGTTCAAAAGACTCATCCAAAAGACAGTTGAATCTTTTTACAATTTAATATATAAAAATTGACTGTTGAACGAAAAAGGGAATGTAATTCAAGGGCTAAGTAAATGTTTCATGCACTACAATTATCATTATTTTTGTAGACCCATTTGATTGAGAGGGGAAAGAAAATTCATCTTAAGCAGAGAATGTAGAAGCGATGATGAAAGAGAAAAAGCCCCGAGTTGGAAGAGCAATGGGTGCAAGCAGTAGAATGTAGTTACACTGGGGCAAGGGGCTGATGGGATTTGAACATAATTAAACAATCTGGTGCACATTTTCTCAGAGTGTGTGTCCTGAGACCTACAACTTAGTGCTGGCATTAATTTAATAATTAAATGCATCAATGAGAAGAAATAATGAATGGGCCTGAACTCCCATAGGTAAAATAACATGCCCTTATATAATAATAATAATCCTTTTGGTACAGCAACTTTGTGGATGTCTAAAAGCTCTTCATTTTGCAGGCAAAATGCAGCAGCTAATTTATGCAGCCGCTAATTTGCACCCAGCAATGTCTCACAAGTAGCCATGAAATTGATGACCAATTTTATTTGAGGGATTGTTGGCTAGGGCACTTTTGAAGTGCCATAGTTAATCACTTAAATGTCAAGCAGAACCATTCTGATAACCTTGTCCAATAGTGTGTGATTTTAGCCTGATCTTGATATGTTCTATTTCTACTCTATTGAGAAGAAAGTTGATGCGCTTTTTTGTTATGTCAGTTCATTATAAGCAGAGAGAGAGAAAAACTATTTTTATGTTTTTAAACTGGTTGGAATGATTCAATATTGTTTCCAGAATTAGTCATTAGAGAGCGAGAGATTATGTCTATATTTCCCACTGTGATATCACTAAGGACAGCTCTGTTCACACTCAATTCAGTATTTTTATACAACTTCTCTAACTGGTGAGATTCCAAGTAATTTAGAGATAACTTTTAAACATTTTTAAAGTCTGCAAATTCTTTTAAATGATACCTCATTTATGCAATAACGAATGCATTAATTGAATTTGTGAAAGCTGTTTTGAGAAATAGGCCCAGAATTAAACCAGTACCCCAGTAATCCTTAGTGGAGAGTCATTGAAAATAGCATTGAAACCAGATTTGGTGAAAATAGTGTAAAATTCAGATCTGGTAAAATAGTATTCAATCTAGATTTGGTGTAAGCGGAATCAAATCAACATTAATTCCATTGTTCAAATCAAGTTATACCTCTGTACATGCATCAATGAGAAAAAATACTGAATGGGCCTAAGCTCTCATAGATAAAATAACATACCCTTATATAATAAAATCCTTACTTTTGGTATAGCACCTCTGTGGATGTCTAAAAGCTCTTCATTTTGCAGGCAAAATGCAGCAGCTAATTTATGCAGCAGCTACTTTATGCAGCGGCTAATTTGCGCCCAGCAATATCTCACAAATAGCAATGAAATTAATGACCAATTTTATTTGAGGGATTGTTGACGAGGCCACTTTTGAATAGTGCCAGAGGATCTATAACATCCACCTGAACCCATCTCAAGGACAGCATCTCTGACAATAAAGCACACCCTCAGCACTGCACTGATGTGTTCGCCCAGACGATGTGAGTTCAAAGTGAGGCTTGAACCACCTTATGACTCAGAGGTGAGAGTGCTACCAACTGAGCTAGCCTGATGCATTATATAGCTTATTTCACATAGGATAATGTCGTGGAGTGATTTCCAACTGTGGATCACTGAGCACGGTGGGAGAAGTCATTGTCAAAGAGATCTTTTAGGAAGTTTTGAAGAGGCATTATACTTGAAAGCTTGGCAACCAGAGAATGCAGAGGGGATGATGAAAGAGAAAAAGCCCCGAGTTGGAAGAGCAGTGGGTGAAAGCAGTAAAATGTAGTTACACTGGGGCAAGAGCCTGATGGGATTTGAACATAATTAAACAATCTGGTGCACATTCTCAGAGAGTGTCCTGAGACCTGCAACTTAATGCTGGGCATTAATTTAATTAATGGTATTTGTCTTCAGAAGGTATTAATGAAACTGAGGAAACCTAGAATAACAGCTACAATCTGGTCCTCGGGGAAAATTATATGCACTGGAGCTACAAGGTAAGAATTCAGTGTGTTTTTTGTATCAATTTGACAGTATATTTTATTAGAACATCTTTTTAATTTTAATATAATTGAGATAGGATATGCAAATAGATTGTTTAACCAAATAGCAATAGAATTGTAGAATCCTAGAATTTTACAACACACAGTAAGAGACAATATGGCCCATTATGGCTGTCTGGGTCTTCAAAAGAGCTATGTATATGGTTGCCCTCTCCTGCCTATTCTTCATACTCTTTTATACATTTTTTTCAAGTATTTGTTCCAATTTCATTAGCTAATATAGATTCTCCTTGAACTATTGTTTTATGTCCTAATAACCTACCTTCTTCCTTTCTTCATTTTTTTTGGTGATCTTAAATTTATATCCTCTAGATAGTGACTCTCAAGCAATGAAAATACCTATTCCCTGAAAATCAAATCAAAACCCTTGTAATTTTGAACACCTTTATCTCTCCTTATAAGTTAAACCTCTCATTCCCTGTCCTCGTCACTGACTCATAATCGTCCTAACGTAGGATGCCCAACAAGGTATTGGAAAAAGTAAATGAATACAGGAAATTGTTTTAAATTTTTGAGGAGATTTAATGCTAGTTACAGGTGCATATCAATTGTGATGTTATACAGAGTATGAGGTGCAAAAGTGACTTTGGAATTGCAGAAATGATAATTGTGTGATGTATCGAGCAGTCTCATTAGATTGTCTCTGACAAAAAAAAGAATTTTCTGCTTGTGATCAGTGTCAAGACTTGGAGACAAATTATGACCTCTTGGCCCAACACTTCCTCAACCATAACACTAGTAGAAGGAAAATAAGTGAAAAATATTCAGTGTAAGATAGGGGGAAATTGTCAATGAGAAAATAAGACTATGTCTGAACTTGAAGCAGCACGAAACAACATTTATTTCCATTATGTTAACACACCTCTTGCCTTGTTGAGTGATGTTGTCCACACTTGCCTTTTAAAAAGATATGTAAACAAAAGAAGATTTATTGTTAATCATCAATGGGGTTTGATGGTAATGCTTTTTACAGTAGTTGTGTCTAAAACAGTGCTCAAAATACTTCATTTTTCTTGGTGCATTTAGTTGAATAAAACATGTTTATTATTCCCTTATAAATCATATTGATATGCAACAATAACTTAATCTAGTATATTTTCAAACCATATTAGTGAAGAAGATGCAAAAACTGGTGCCCGAAGACTAGCCCGCGTTCTACAGAAACTGGGTTTTCAGGTAATTGTTTCACTTACTTGTCAAGAGCACTGTCAACTATTTGGGGCCTAATTTGCGGTATGGGCAAACTGGATTCAATGCATTAATTGTCAATATAAAAATATAGTTTTATTTGCAACATTTGTAATAGAGATTTGGAAAAGAGGGCAAAGTGTAATAAAAGACCATGGAGCAAATGGCCCAATGGCAGTGACAATTACTGCTTCCAGTCCTATTTGTGAATATTAGACTAGCTTTTTTCAGAGATTCAGATCCTAGTTTATTTAATTTACAATATTTATATTTGTAAAAAAAGAAATTCACCAACATTGCAGGATTTCAGTTTTGTACTCAGAGGTTCGCTATTTGTTAAATCTGCCTGCGCTCATTCTGGCTATTTTAACTGTTTGACTTCAAATCTAACACCATATTTTAAGTCTGCTTTATTACTTCTTAACCCAATTCGCTAGTAATGTAGCCCTACAATACATAACACTATTTACTGGAACACAATTGCTAGTAATAGCAGTGTATATACTTGTATAGTATTTAACTAATAGCAGTAGGTGCTAATAAAATAACTAGTACTGATAATAGTAACTTGCTTATCTCTGGAGAAAATAGTTGTTGCTTTATTTGCTTCAAGTGGCTTCTTCTGCGTTTCTTTCTGTTGCCGAAACTTGTCTTTAGAATCTTGCTTGACCTCTTGATTTGTTTCTGTAAGTAATGGATGGTGTTTCTCTGTTTCAACTGTTACTTTTAATGTTTCTCTTAACCAGTTCTTGGATAGTTCTTCAAATAATATGATTTGTTTTGTTCATTGGAAGGAAAGCAAAATCTGTACGGATTTTAATTAGATATTTTCCTCATCTTAACCATGATTTTAATTGCAGAAGCCGGTAAAATGTGTTCATGAGACTCATGTTGGCTATTATTCTGTCTAAAGGTAAAATTTGCTGGTTATAAAGTTGTCAACGTTTTGGCTGTATGCACTATGCCATTTGAAATAAGGCTACCAGAATTCACCAAGAAGAATAGGCCCATTGCAAGGTATGTAATTTGAAGGTATATTGAGTACGACCATTATATAATGCTTTCGTTCTGGTGTGTGAAGGTCAATTTTACCAATAAGCACTCACAGCTTATATACAGAAGAATCTACTTTTTCTCTGCTATAAAAATCTCAGAAGTACACTCTTGCTGCAACAGTGTAATATTTGAAGTGCAAGGTTTGTTATTTCCATTTCTCAAATCAGCCACCCCTTGGCTAAAATTCTGAAGGAGAGGGAGGAGTGGAAAGAATCTCAGATCTGGTTCCAGAGAACAGGGACAAAATGGCAAATAGCTCATGGGAATGATCTGGTGAACAGCAAGAAGCAGACTAGTTTAAAGCTGGCTTTTGTGTAGTTTTCTGCTATGGGCTAATGCCTTTCAGGAACAAGGGAGTAACATTTGTAATATTCCTTAAAGTTTCCTTAAATTAACACCCAGGGCTCCAGTGCCATTATGAAAGTAGATTTTCACCTAAAGGCCAGAAAATGTGTATGAAAATAAAACTATCCGAGTCTCTAAAGGACCAAATAAAACTTTAATCTATTGCTTCATGGTGGAATTTAGCAGTGGACCAGTTTGGAAATTAGAGCAGCGTAAAGGAATGCCACTACCATTGACCTGTCAAGGTATTACAGAGGATTTCGTGCGATGCTAGCAAGACTAAATTCACACTAAATTGAAATTCACACTGCTAATTGTGTTGATAATTTAAAGTTTGCTACAAACTTTTCACCTAGGTTCAGACTAATTCCTACACTATCAGTTTTACAATCCCCTCAATCTGGATGGATTCAAATGCAGGTGCAAAGATGAAAGGCTATTGTCTAACTAAATAAACCATCTGGTTAGACTACCCCTACCATTTCTGTTATTGGTGACCTTTTAAGCATATTAGTGGAGTTTAGTAGTTAGGACTTGCCTCACAAGCAAGAGAACCAGGGTTCAATTCCTGGGCGGGGCCAAACCATGGGCAAATTTCCTTTCTCAACGTGCCCCTGTTTACCTAGCAGTAAGTAGAAACACGGTTGTTAGTCGATTGGTGGATCGTTTTCCGGGGGTGATAAACCCTCCACAAAAAACTCAATTGACGACTGTTTATGGGACATTGCTGTGCGAAATTGGTTGCTGTGTTACACCCGCTGTCAATCGAGTTTACAGTTTACTCTGTGAAGCGCTTTGACACGCATCAACGATGTGATAAGGCGCTATATCAAATGCAAGGGTTATTATATATTATGCTATATTATAAATTATGAATAAACACTATCTGTAATTGCTTATTAAATTCCTCAATTTTTTCTCCTGATAGTTATGAACCTGAACTCCATCCTGCAGTATCTTATAGAGTTAAAGCGCTAAAAGCTACACTTCAGATCTTCTCCACAGGAAGTATCACAATAACAGGTATGCACACAAATGTCTTGTCAAACAACTACAGCAAATGAATTTCAATTTCAGGTTTCCTCCACATTTCACCAATATGTAAAATAAATGGCCACCTAGTGCATTAAATACTGATTTGTTTGAAGTATTCAAATGAAATTTTTATCAAATTCCTATTCTGTAAAGAAGGATTCTGGTTTAAATTAGAAAAAAATAGTCAGATCAGGTCCTGATGCTGAACCTAGCTCATGGGTCAATTGGACATAAATATTGTTCCAATTAATTCCCAGCCCCTTGTAGTGTAACTGTTTAATTGTTATTATTGCCCACAAAATATACAGTCAATTCACTTAACAGTATATTCAATAAAATGTTTTGAAATGTTTTGAAGATGTGGTAAGACACTGTATTAAATGCAAAGATTATTATTGTTTCCATATTCAAAGTGTGCCCAGAATGTATAGAAAATACACTTATAAATTACAGCTGTAAGAAATGATAAAGGAAAAAAAAGTATATTTTGATACAGTAGTGAATTGGTATTAGTGCTGCTATTTGGATATTGGAGAGGTGTAAGGTTACTTTGTTGAAAATGAAATACTTCAAAATTAGTCATCAAAAATCAGCATTCTCATTCGTAGAGATAACCGATTGAAAGGTAAAAATGATAAAATGTTTATTGTGGGATTTGCATATTAATTATTGTATGGTTTTATTTTCTCTACCTTAGCACCCAGTATACAATGCGTTGCCAGTGCGGTGGAACAAACCTATCCACTAATCTTTGAATCGAGAAAACAGATCAAATAATCATTCCTATACGACTGGGAGCATCTTTTGTGATTGGTAACAACAAAGACGAATTTTACTGTACAACTTTTCCAGGAATGGACTGAGAGCAAATGAGAGACTGTGCAGAGCTTATGAAAATGTATGAACACAATGCAGATGTATTCATTTTGGGATGTTAATATTGTTTTATTGTGAACTGTTTACATGACATGATGCTGCTGTTTTCCTTGGGAGAATTCTTTTAAAGTGTGCAGTATGGAACAGGATTGTAAAATGTGCACTACATTTAAAGTTGAACCTTTTTTCTGGTTGAGCTTTATGTTTTAAAATAAAAATTGTATGCTGTGTATGAACACCAAAGATGCCACCAATGCCACTATTCATTCGGTTAATGTGTTTAAACAAGATTAATGGATGTGTATTTTACTCGAAGCAAGAACTCTACCCTGTATTCTGACTGGCAGTTGTGTAAGGAAGATTTCATCCATTAGGAACGTCAGTTCATTATTTGGGTGTATTTTTGACTTAAACAGATCTTGAGGCCTTTTGTTAAAGTCAAACCCTCATTTTAGTAATGATAAAAATATTTTACTTGGTAGTGCATTGAAAGTTCCCTGGTTTTAAACAAAAAAATAACATGAAAGGAGAAGGTTCTTATTGATTGAAATCAAATCACATCTTAATAATTGTCAAAATGAATGTGTCAAACTCCCCCACGTTGTACAGTGTTGAAAGATCACTTAAAACTTGCATGGTTATTCGTTGATCTTTTTTTATATTTTAAAAAAACCTGCTAAGCTACTTCGTATACAGCATCAGCTATTAGCTTAAAGAAGAGATATTGTAGAGTTATTTTATTAAAATTGCTGTGATGCATCCCTTTTACCATACATTGGAAATTATCAAAACACAGTAACGACTATTGCATTAATATTTCTAAAGCAGTAATTTAGGAGACTTTTTCTGTTCGAAAATCTTTCATGGGAGTATAATTATATAGCCCATAATGCTGCAGGTAGAGTATATTTCAGATGGTGAATTGTATCTACCAAAAGCCTCTCTTGTCCATACAGTAAACAGAATCTCACAAACGGCGGTGAGATGCAGGCATTTTTCACTTGTGTGTTGCAACTAATTTAGTTCCGTACAGCTTTTGAGCTGTGCATCTTCCATCCTCCTGAAGGAATGCCTGCAGCTAGATACCTGTCATTAGTGAGATGTTTCCTCTCAGATTTACTTTATCTGTGTTTTTAATAAATACTGAAGTGCTGTACGATGCATAGCTTTGATTTTTAACATTAATGTACTTATTGGAAGCAGTCGGTTTTCTTTAACCCTTTTTAAAAAGTATGTTAATGCCCTTCTGCAGTTTTAATAAATGTTTTGCAGTTCAGTCCAGTAATATTCCATAATAAATGTGAAACGTTCAGCAGTATTTCATCCAATATTCTTGTTATATGGTGAACAACAGATTTATGTTCTAGAGTGCAAGGAAAGTTTAGCGTTCTTAAGGAAGTTTATATTGTGGAGCGCAGACTTCACTATAGCAGTTACAATTTTCAATTCAGCTCCACTTTTTCCATCTGAACTCAGGTTGAGTGTTTATCCTCGTAAGAGCGTTGAGGGTTATAAGGAGTACCTCTTCTATTAAATTTCAAACAAATTTATTTATTTATAAATTTATTTTTTACCGTGACACAATTCCAAGATTGTTTAAGAATTATCAATTAGACCATCTAAATTAGAATCAGAATTCACATTGAATATAATCCTTTGAGTACTGGACAGTATTTCCAACTTTCAAATGGCACATTGTTCTGTAGGACACTTTTTGTAAACTTCCAGTTTCAATAAAGTCTAAGTGGAAGAATGTATGCAGCTACAAAATCATTATTAATTTGCAATATTCATAGAATAAATGTAATAAGTATACAGTAGTTGTAGTTTGGAATATAAATGCTTCTACAGTGCTCAAAAGGTTATGTTAAGCGACAGAGTGCATCTGTCATGTAAATAGTCTCATTCAAAATGTCAGTATTATTGCTTAGATTTTATGTCTTCATTGCTATTGCCAGTAGGTGATTGCTATTGCCAGTAGGTGGGAACATTGTAATGCTTTTATACCACATCTTGGAAGCCACCGCAGCTTGTTAAATTTGATTTGGAAAAGGACAATGATGTGTTGTAAAGGTTAAATGTCCAAGTTGATATGGTGTAGTTAAGATAGTATACTCATTTATTTCATATAAAATGTGTATCTTTCCTATGTAAAACTGTAAATTCTGAAAAAAAAATCTTCAAAATCTACTCATTTAAAGAACAATGTGTTTTTGAGTGTTTTGGAGCATTTGGTGCTGGAGAGTTAGGTGATTGAGCTATGGAATCCCAGCCAGATTGGAAGTGCGCGCACAAGGGCTGACTTGAATAACCTCAGCTAGTGCCTGCCTATTTTTCAGGCGGACATTAAAAATCCAATGACACAATCTGAAAAGAGGTGTGAGTTTCTCACTGTTTGCTGGCTAAAATATATCTGAATTAAATCAGTCATTCACTTCCTGGTTATCTGTAGAACCTTGCTAGTGCAAATGGTTGTCATGCTTACCGACAAAATCGGTCATTGCACTTGAAAATAATTACTTGCTTTGAGGTGTTTGACAAATCTCTACAAATAAAGCAAAATGTGTATTTATTTGTATCCATTCCTACTTGGGTCAGATGGAAGCAAGGCATTCAAACTGAAGGATGGATATCCTGTGCTTCGTGTAACATGTTAAACCGAGGCTCTGTCTGTCTGTTCAGGTGGACGTTTAAAGATCCCATAACACTATTCAAAAAGAGAGTGAGTTTCTTCCAGTGTCCTGGCTAAAAATCCCCCAAATAAAATTGGTCATTCACTTCATGGCTGTGTACAAATTGGCTGCTATGTTTGCCCACAAAACACATTCAATTCACTTTACAGTACACTGAAGCACTTTGGGACGTCATCCAGGAGTGAAGGGCACTAGACCAAATGTAAGGATTATTATTGTGTGTGGTAGGGATTGGTCGGGAAGAAGGTATCAAATGTATAAACATCAAGGCCTATGGATCATTTTTTCTCTTTGATTTTGATTTATCAAGCATTTACCGCTGTGCCACACACAAAATAGGAAGAATTTGATCTAATAGCAGCTAAGATATATATATATATAGGTTAAAAAGGCATTCTCACAACAAGAAAGATTATGTGAAAGGAAAACAAAGAGTGGGTTCTGGCTGGTTAAAAGGACCCAAATGTCTTGTTCAGAATCAGTCTTTTAGGAGTTTACTTATCTCTAAATTAATTTAACAGCTTCAAGATCGAATGGTTCAACACTTCTGATTTTAGCATTGTCCAAATGGAGCTAGAACAATACCTAGGTTATTATCAAACTATTTTTAAGCAATTATTTCACTGAAAACACCCCATTGAAATCTAAGGGGAGGAAGTTCTCCATGGCTTTTCATTCCAAGCTAATAAAAATGTTAAACTTGCTCCAAATGTTATTAGTGAATTAGAAATCATGAAAATACACAAAGTGCCCTTTGGAAAAAAAATTCTGAGCTAGATTTGCTGCAGTATTTTAGCGTAAATTGTCATTATCAGAATAAATTTGTTGCATCGGACACAGTTACATTGTTAATAATGAAGCAAGATTTTTTATTTAATTTTGAGCCGAACTAATCGCAATAGAAAAATCATAGCACTGATCTCTGTTTTGCTCTACTCATGGTAAACATCCATCATGAATGAATAGGACCCAACTGCATTGATTCTTGATATAGACTTCTAGAAATCCATTGGTTTTAAAGTAGAAACTATCACCATTAACACGTCACAATTGTACAACACTGCAATCCAAAACGGTGCACTAACACTCTCGTTCTTGTGAAGTTCTTTCCTGTTCGGTTTTCATTTTGGCTATGGAACATACCTGACCTCTGGTGAAAGTCTGTGGTGCAGTCAAGCCAGTCACAAAAAACACATTGTTGGCCTTCATTGGGAGCAAAAAATGAAATCACAAATTCAAAAGGCAGTGCAGCTGGTGTTATCAGATCAGCCTCTGCTTTGCATCTAAATGCGAAGGTACTCTGCTCAGGCAGTGGTGAGGTAGTGGTGCAGATGTACACATGTAGGTTCTAGCTTAGAACACGTGGCAAAGCATCATCTTGCAGGATACATGGTAACATCACCCATGTGCTGGAAAACAAATTACTACCTGGTGCAGTGGCAGCAATAGCTGAGTGATGGGTTTTGTAAGGAAGCCTTGGCCAGGTGGTTAAGATCATAACACCTGTTATGTGTCACACAACCACATTAGCAAGTATTATTGCAACAGTGTACTATTTGCATCATGTGTGCTAATGGCACAACCAGGTTCAACTGTACCTGGTGCTGGAAGCATACATTTAACAAACAGACAGAAATAGCTCTACCACCAGAGGCAAAGCCAATATCCTCACAGCTCACATATGTAATAGTACACTTAGAGAGCCTCTGGCAACAGTTAGTGCTGCTTTAATTATGTTGTAACAGTCATGCAACTGTCTTCCCTGGCATCAGTAAAAGAAACAGGCATGAATGAAACTGGTCTCCTAACTCCAGATAGCCACCAGGTGGCACTAGCACATAAGGAATCCTGCCATTCATGTTCCTGTAATTAAAAAATGGGCTTTACTTGCAGTTTACCATTAAGAAATTAAAACAATTGATGTTCCCGTGCTTTTAGTCTTTTAAACAGTCAAGTAGTAACCATTTTTTTTAAAAATTGGGGGGTTGTGGGGTCAGCCAGGGATTTAACACATGCGGAAACTCATCACCATGCTTAAAAGTATTCAAACCAAGCTGTGGTATCCAGAGTGAAACAGTAGCAATAATTGGCACTGGAGGTAGAGGTCATGGATTGCAGCTGGAGAATGCAGCATTGACAATTGTTTCTCACCAGACTGCTGGATGTGGCACTACTTGGTGGTGAAATCTAGGCTCCAGTTAACCTGAGATGTATTTTCCTGATGAGCACTTTTTAAAGCTCCAATGTATCGTGTAATTTAAATATTTAGGGAGGATGTTTCCCAGGAGATTTCTGTGGTTACAATAGCTCAGTTACTTTTACAATCACGTTATGCCTAAATCTGATCAACCGCCAGAAACACGAGAGAAAGTGTTTTGACAGTGCATTCCAGATCCTAACAACTCGCTGCTTAAAACCATTTCGCATCTCCCCTCTGGTTCTTTTGCCAATTATCTTGAATTTGGGTTCTCTGGTTACTGACCCACCCGCCAGTGGAAATAGTTTCTCCTTATTTACTCTTATCAAAACCCCTCATAATTTTGAACATCTTTATTAAGTCTCGCCTTAACCTTCCCTGTTCTAAGAAAAACAATCCCAGCTACTCTAGACTATCCATTGTATATGAGTTATTAAGTATTATTACTTTAATGAACTAATTTGTATAAACAACAGCAACTTACATTTGTCTAAGTAAATGAGTATTAGTTCATGAGCAGTTCATGAAATGAGAATAATTTAAAATTACGCAATTTTGCTACATGGGCAAACACAGCAATACATATCTGTAATGTCCAAAAAAAAGAGATTAGCAGCCACAACAATCTAATTTTGGGGAGATGAGTTTGAATGAGAAAGCTTCCCATTCTTCTTTGAAATATCAGCATGGGATCTTTTAACATCCACCTGAACCACAAGCGGCCAAGACCTTCATTTAACGACTCATTCGGAATAGAGAGAAACATCTGGAACAAAATAATAAATAGTGCTTGTATTATACATAGCGGTTTACCAAGTTTACACATTTCATATAGCTTAAAAAGTACAGTTGGTATTGTTTTAAAAGGGCATTACTAGAAGCGAACCTTAACATTTTTACAGAAGGAAACACCCAAAGGAGACAAGTGTATTCAAATATTAGCACAAATGTAATATTCATAGATTAATGACACTTCAGCTTCACATGAGCAAGCAGCTCTTAATCCTTTAATAATCCTTGCATTTGACACTCTGTCTCAAAGTGCTTCACAGAATATAGTGTAGAGTGTATATTTTGTGGGTGAAACGTGGCAGCCAATTGCGCACAGCAATGTCCCACAAATAGTCATGGATTGAATGACCACANTTTTTTAAGGGAATATTATTCCCGGAAAAGCGATCCGCCCATCAACTAACAACCAGTTCCTACTTTCTGCTAAGCAAAACGGAAGCATTTTCTTGTTGAAGGAAAAGACCTTTTCAAATAAAATTGGAAACATGATTATTCCTATTTACATAAGAAATTATGTCCTGAGAATTAATTTATTTAAACTATTATAGTAGGCATTGAAACCTTTCCTGTCTCTGTTAATGTGACTTTCGTCATATGAGACAGTGAAACTCCTTACCACCCTCAGTATTCTCTTGTTTATATAATCTACATACATTTGAAACCTATTCAGGCATCACCTGAATACTCAGAGCTTCTCTGTTGCACTTTTCAACCTTGGGGTTGTCCTGTATTGTATGATCTTGGTTCTCAGTAAACAGCTGTTCACTTATGTTTTCACAGACTAATCCTTCATTGACCAGACTTGTTTACTGCATTAAGCGTCTTCAACTGTATTTCTTAAAAATTGCAAGCAAATAAAATGTTGAATTGCTTCCCTCCAAACTATAGTTACATGGTAAAAATATCAATAATATTGTTATGACTATGCACAAATGCATACATGCATATTCTACAGCCCATGTCCTCACCTACATCAGGCTCTGTGACCCTATCAACACCATCCTCGTGCGATTCCACTGGCTCCCCATCACTCAGAGGATACAGTTCAAGATCCTGGCGGGTGGGCCTTCTACCACTCTGCCCTCACCCTCTGGAACTCCAGCCCGCAGGCCCTCCGCCTCACCCCCTTTCTTGCCTCCTTCAAGACCCATCTCAAGACCTTCCTCTTCAACCGTGCCTTCGGTCACCCTCCTTTTTTACAACACTTAATGAATAAACTGGGTTTAGTACAAGTTCTTTGAAATGCTGAGACCCAATTCTCACATCATACCTCTGTATAAAATATATTATACCAAGAGTGAGTTCCTGTTGGTTTCAATTGACTAGGGCAGGAAGAAATAACTACTTACCAACAGGGATAGCTATTTTGGTAATAAGTTGCTTATAAAAACATGGTTATATATTTGTAGTTGGAATGGATTTCAATTTGGCTAATGTATGATAGTCGTAAAGGATAAGGTCAAGACAGACCAGTTAAATGAATATTGCTTAGGCTTCATACTCGAGAATGAGGATTTGATATCACAGATACAGGGAAGATGATAAGATTTTCTTCAGGTGAGAAATTGCAATATAAGTGGAGTCCTGTAGCTCAGTGGTTAGAGCACTCGCTTTGCAAGCGAGAGACCTGAGTTCAATTCCAGGCAGAGGGCGAAACCTTGGGCAAGTTTCCTTACTCCACACGCCTAATAATAATCCCTCCAAAAACCAGAAACAATAATTAAATTGGTCATTTTCAATCTACGACTGTTTGTGGGACATTGCTGTGCGTAATTGGCTGCCGCGTTCACCCACAAATATACAGTCAATTCACTTTACAGTGTGTTCTGTGACGCGCTTTGGGACGTCCTCCCGATGTGAAAAGCGCTATATCAAATGCAAGGATTATTATTATTATAAGCAAACAAAAAAATAGTGGGACTGAAGTCAGTCTAAGCTCGAAGTCTAGATGCCTCATTCGAGGTTATTAATGGTTATTATCAATGGGAATAAGTTTAAAAATTGTAGATGCATTAGTTATAATCTTCCAAAGCTCTCTGGATTCAGAAATAATACCGGACGATTAGAAGATAGCAAATATGAAGTCATTATTCACGAAGAAAGGAAACAACAAATTAAATGACTGTAGGTCAGTTGTAGGCAGATTACTATAATCTATCACTGAAGATAGAGTAAGCGAGCACCATGAACATCTGCATAATTATGAACTGATCAGAGATATGGGCTTGGGCTTGACTAACCATCAATCACAGCCTTGACTAATCTAATAGAGTTCCCTTGACAGAACCATTGAATTGATGGACTGAAAAATGTGAGTTATATGAAATTTCAGAAGGTATTTAATAAGATTTCCATAAAATTTAGTAGCTAAAATGGAACTGAAGGCAATCTCATGATATCAATCAGAAATTGGTTGGAAGTAGGAGGAAGAGTTATGATAAAGGAAACATTCTCTGATAGGCATCAGTGGCATCAATCCATCGTGTCCCCCATGAATTGGTGCTTGGGCCCCACCTTTTCATTCTATATATATAAATGGCCTGGATGAATACATTGATTTAAATATCTAAGTATCTAATATCTATATATCTAAGTACAAAATAATAATAACCCTTGCATTTGATATAGCAACTTATCACATCTTCCTGGACGTCTCAAAGTACTTCACAGAATACACTGTAAAGTGAATTCACTGTATGTACTGTGGGTGAAACATGGCAGCCAATTGTGCGCAGCAGTGTCCCACAAATAGTCGTGGATTAAGTGACCAAATAATTATTTGTAAAAATTATTTATGTGTTTTTTTTAAGGGGTTAGTACCCTGGAAAGATGATCCGCTAATCGATCAACAACCAGGTTCCTATTTACTGCTAGGTAAACAGAGGCGTGTGAAAACATGCCTATCATTTCGCCCTTTCTGGGAATCAAACCCAGGTCCTCTTGTTTGCGAGGTGAGCGCTCTAAGCGGTTGTTGTTGGTGTTGTTCTTGTACGCTACAGGCCTTCACAATGCTTGGTTGTATGTGCAGAAAGGAATCTAGAAAACTAATTGAATGCTATTTGTTAGTAACAAGAAGTCTAGAATAAGTGCGACAAGAGAGTGCTGCTGAAGTTGGCAGGCCTTCTTATTTGGAGAATGTTATTTAGTTGAGGGCACTCAACTTTATGAAGAATCTACTGAACTTGGAGGCCATGTACTAACAATAATTCCTGTGTTCAATGTAGCACCTTTCACATCAGGAGGATGTTTCAAAGTACTTCACTGGATATACTATAAAGTGTAGTGGTTGTAATCTATTGGCTATAAACATCCAAGAATTGTATCTAGGAATAACACCAGGAGATATTCCTTTCTCTTTTTAAATACATGGACTAAATCTTTAACATTCACCTGAACAGGCAGACAGGACTAGAGGTTGAAATCCTGGTGCTGTTTCAGAATCCTGGGATTTGGGAATTTTTATGCCTCAAATCCTGAAATTGACCTTGCCCAGGACACTTGTGGTCATACTCCGCACCAGCAGGGTACCTCAGAGAGAGGATCTCTCCATTGGGAGGTTGCCTGGAGAGAGTTAATCACTCGCTCGACAGATTACAGCAGAACAGGAAAGCCCGCCCTCTCCTTCCACCTGAGTTTGGCCTTCTGAAATTCTGGGATTCTCTTGAATGAATCCTGGGATTTTGGGAGCACCATTATCATACAGGATCCTTGGATCCTAGGATCGGGATTCCCAGGGTTGCAATCCCTAGACGGGACCTAGCCTTAACGTCTCATCCGATGGATAGTACCTCCAACAATGCAACACATAGTGGCGGAGATGGGCCATGTTCCAGAGGTCATATCACTGTCACGGTCATCTTGTTTAAATTGACCTCTTTTATTAAAGTTATAAATATAGATATTTTGTATATATTGAGATTTAGTGCAAAATAAGACGCTTTCGCTTTAAGTGCATTTATGGTCTCTGGACCGAAATATAATTTGAACAGTTAAGGACAGCCTTGGCACACAAAGTCTATGAATTGGGTGAGTTATGGAAACAAAAAGGCAGGTAAGCAACACCCAGGTCCTGGAGGGTGAACCTACTGATACATTGAAAGGTGGGTGGAGATTGAAAATGGAGGAAAAAAGCATCAATGCGATACATTGGAATGGGAGTTTAGACAATATAAGAGGGGGTTTGCTGAACTCGGGATCGCTTTTCGCCTTGTGTGTCATCAAGATGGTAAATACCTGACCTGAGAGCCTCGCCTCCAGGTCAAGATTGTTTTTTCTGTGTCTACTAACTTTGGGTAAAGCTGCTAGTGTCATAGTTTAGTGTCAGCGTATTTTCTATTTTGCAATGTTGTGATGGGTATCATGTTCCGATTGGTGTAAGTGAGGTATAGGGTTTAAGAATCAATAAAACACTGCTGAGCTTTCTATACAGTGCTTCTCAAGTCTCTGTAAAGATCAAGGAGGGAGGGAGGAAACACAAGCAGGTTATTGCTGAAGTCAACTGTCTGGTAGTGCATAGGATGCTGATGAATGCACCTTTTTGTTGCGATATAAGGCATTGGGATTACCTGTCATAATCCCAATGATTGGTGAGGAGGAGGGTAAAGATGGGGTCAAGGTTAACGAATGATTGAATGAGTTTTGAGTTGGAGATTTGAAGAACTCATTTAATTTAAGGTGTGAAAGAACTTGACCTTTGTCTTTGATTCAATGTCCCCAGGCCATCTGAGGTATTATAATGACTTCATAATGGTATGAATGATCATTTTATCTGGAGGATTGTTGGCCAGGACACCGGGAGAAATTTGGTAAAAGTTTTTCGAGTCCCACAGCATCTTTACAGGCAAATAGAACCCTGGTTTAATGATTCATTCAAATGACAGCAAGTCCTTTTGCAGAATATAGCAAAACCAATGAATAACGATGTTTACCGATTTTTAATGCATCTACATAAACCTAACCATTAGTTATTTCTTCCAGTGAGAGATCTTTAATTCAACACCATTGAGAATTTGTTTCATGGTTGTTCAACAGTAGAGACACATTTGTCAAACAGAGTGGCATGCAATACATTTTGAACTATTCTTCTTATGTCCTGTCATAGCAAGGATAGCAATTGATTCAAGAGAGATTGGGATATATTTTCCAGAGAGAAAAATTGAAGGGTGTAAGAAAAAGATCATGATTTGTCATTCTTCAAATGCTAGGACCTACTGTTCAGATGAACTGCAATGGTCTTGGGCTTTTCTGGTCCTGTACGTTTCTATGGTTAAGGTTTACCTCTAGAGAAGACAATACTTCTTGCCAGCAATAGATCACAATTCCCAAGCAAACAACTTTGCTTGCAAGCTGTGTAAAAAAAATGCAGTCTAATGTTTTATGGCAAAATGCCATGTGAACAACAAAAAAATAGTTTTTTTACAAAAACAGAAAATCATGGCCAAAAATTATATGTGCGTAAAATACAGTAACATTCGAGCATTGGTATTAAGGCTAACGAAAAACAGTGAAATTTCCTGGTAAACAATAAACTTATAATTTTTAAAGTTACACAGTACTATCATAAAAATATTTTCCAAACCTTCAATGTGGTATTGGACATCTGTAGCCCAAATGCAGTGCTCATCACTTCTACGTTTCTGAAATATCCTTGGTACAACTCTCTTCATACAGTTACCTGTATAGCAGCTCAAAGTCCTTACATTGTACCTGGAGAAAGATTTCACATGGATTAGAATTTAACTTTGATTTGACTCAAATAGTGATCTCTCTGGCTACATTAACACCATAGTCATTTGTCCACAATGCACTTAGAGTGTGGGTCTAAACCTGGTTATAAAAACACCAGCAAGCTTTAAGTATCTCTTATTAGGCTTATAATAATATATAGAATAATGTTTCTTATATCTGTTCACAACTTACCTTAGACTAAATTGCTCAGTTATCTGCTCTAATGGCAGACCTTTTGTCTCAGGTACAAGGAAAATTATAAAAACCAATGAGACAAAACTCAACGTGGCACAGATAAAGAACATCCACATCAGGCCAATAGACTCTGGAATCAGTAAATAATAAAAGCAGGTTATAATAATAATAAGCAGGTTTTGTTGATTATTTCAAAAACAACAACAATTTAAACAGCAACAATTTAAATAAATATTTGATTTTGGTGCAGTGCCTTCACAGTGTGAGGACCCTTCAAAGCGCTTTCACAGAATCTAACTGTTTCCTGACTGTTTTGTGGGTAATCGTGGCATGCAAATTTGCATACAGCAATGACCCACAAACAGCTATCAAGTCAATGACCAATTTTATCTGGATGATCATTAGCCTGGACATTGGAAGAAACTCCCTTATTTTGAATAATACCATGGGATCTTCAAACTTCAACCTTAACAGCCATACAGAATTTTGGTTTGATGTCTCATTTGAAAGACAGTACCTCCAGTAATGCAGCACTGTAAGCAATCCCAGAATCCTGAATTGTCTTAACTTGATTAACGACTTTTGCAAATTCATGGACTTATTTGTTTCATAAAGGCTGATATATAGAAATCATCCATTTGCTTTATACGCAAATGGACGAAGCCCAAGGACAAATGGAAGAACAAGGAACAAAGGTTTTCTTCACCATGGAAGATAAAGTTGTGTTTGCTTTGCAACTGGTGTCTACAACACATTGAACAGACTGGTGTATGTGACCAAAAAGGTTTAAGGAAGAGAGATTGTTGGGTTAAATCGGAAGAGCTGAATTTTGGGAGCCAAGTAGCTAATATGAATATGCATTTTTTACTAATCTTTTATTAAAATTTACTATGTGAAGCAAATTGAGAGCTTATGTCAGTTCATATTTCACTACAGGGTCATTTAAGTAACCGTACAGCACACCCTTAGCACTACACTAGAGAGTCAACCTAGACTATAGGAGTTCAATGTCTTAATATGGAATATAACCCAGAACCTCTGCTTCAGAGGCATGAGTGCTAGCAACTGAGACAGGATGATACAATTTAAATTTATTATGTTTTTTTTAAAACCGGTGTCTTTGAAAATATAACTGGAAGGAATATAACTGCCAAAAAAAGGCCATTTTAATTGCTTTTTAATTTAACAAATTCATACTGTCTTTAACACTGTTCGTTTCACAAGCCACTTTGTGAGTCTGACTCCATTTGCTGCAGCCACCATCAATTACCTTCTGTATTTCTCAATTGTGCAAGACTGATGATAAGGGAGTGACATTTGTGGGACACTGCTGTGTGCAATTGGCTGCCGCGTTTCGCCCACAAAATATACAGTCATTTCACTTTGCAGTAAATCCTGTGAAGCGCTTTGAGACATCTCGAAGACGTGATAAGGCGTTATATCAAATGCAAGGATTATTATTGTTATTACTATTATAGTGCCTTTCATGCCAGGAGGACATCTCAAAGTGCAGTTTGGGAGGCCAAGCTGGGGAGGGAGAGAGTACAAATGAAATACTGTAAGATATATAGCATTAAATAATTGCCAGGTTATTCTGGAGTTATTCACTGCTGTCTTCAACATCAATGGCCAAACAGATATTCCCATGAATGAACCTTTGTTCACCGCAATATGGAAGTTGTGCTTTCTCTTTCCTATATTCTGACACTGAAGAGGTGTATACACAAGCCAGTAATGTACCCATAGGTCTTGTCTTATGGCTGGCACAACGCCCCTTCATAAAACTCATTTTGTACTCGTCTGTCTCATGGAATCATAGAAATTTACAGGGTAGAAGGAGCCCATTAGTCCATTGAATTTGCACTGGTTCTCAGAGCAAGCTGCACTTTCAATCCCATCGTATGCTCTATCCTATACTCCATGCCTCTAGTGTTGCATTATCCTTGATGGCAGACTGCAGGCAGCAAGCGGTCAAATTCACCTGAGGTGGGTGAGACATCAGACCTCCATATTGTCCAGACCACAAACACCCATAATGGCAGTAAATATTGTACGGGAAATGAAAAAAAGCCATCTTTAGAAAAGCTGTCACTACAACAATAATAACAACTTGCATTTATACAGCGCCCTTCATGCGGGTGGAGCCCATTGCCGAATCGACAGGAGGGTAAGATGACCGAAGTCCCGGTCGAAGAGGAAGGTCTTCAAGCGTGACCTAAAAATGGGGAGAGAGGGGGCAAGGCAAAGGGATTAAGGGAGAGAGTTCCACAGCTTCGGAGCGTAGTGGATGAAAGCACAGCCGCTGATGGTGGGGCTAGCAACTCTCACATTCCTGATAAACTTGGCTCATTATAACTGATGCATTTGATGTAGCACTTTAACATGTCTTTGGACATCTCAAACCACTTCACAGAATATACTGTAAAGTGTATATTTTGTGGGCGAAACGCAGAAGCCAATTGCGCACAGCAGTGTCCCACAAACTGTCGAGGATTGACTGACCAAATTCATTTTTTTAATTTTGAAGGGGTTATTACTCCCGGAAAAGTGATCCGCTACAACAAAACAATACAAGATTCCATTTATAAAGCGCCTTTCACGTCAGGAGGACGTCCCAAGGCGCTAATCAACTAACAACTGGGCTCCTACTTTCTGCTAGGTAAACAGAGGCGTGTGGATTAAGGAAACTTGCCTAACATTTCGGCCCGCCCAGGAATCGAATCCAGGTCCTTTTGCTTGTAAGCCGAGTGCTCTAACCACTAAGCTACAAGACTCCATGTAGTTTATGCAAATAGCAGTGAACATGCGAAGTTATGTAAGCATGTTTTGCATTATTCAGTGGATGAAGTAAAAGCAGCTACATTATTTACTGAGGCTATACTCTGACATTGTACAAACTTCAGCTTTAAGCCCATTTTCCGAAGCTTCTTCTGCTGTCTTACCTGTCACATTCAAAAAGGTCAGAGAAATCAGGAGGTTTACAATCAATTGGAACATTCCTATGAAAGACATAGCCCTGCCTTTTATTCCCACTGGAAATATTTCACTCAGCAACACCCAGACAACTGTAATCAAAGATAAATAAGAAAATGTCAGACTCAGCACTTCCAAAATTAAACAGATCCTGCATATTTTCATCCAAAGAGAGTTAGTTATATGTGCAACTCACCTGCAACTCTCACTGCAAATTTTAATTTAAATTATAATCTGCTTCATTTACCAATCAGTCTATATTTCATATTGATCAGGGACAGGTGGACTTTAAAGATTAGCACATAATGGAATACAATAGCAGCATTTAGGATCTCCTGCATGTATTCTTAATTCTTTGCTGATGCTGTACTTCATTCATTTCGATGGATTCTTCCAAATTCTATGAATTCTCGTTTCTTCATGGCACAAGCATCCAAAAACAACAGCAACAACTTGAAGCGTCCCGGAGCACTTAACAGACAGGTGTCTGACACCGAGCAAGGGGGAGAGGGAATGGGGAGGTGACCGTAAGCACGATCAAAAAGGAAGGTCTTCAGGCAGGATTTGAAAGTGGGGTGGGAGGGACAAGGCAGAGGGATTGAGGGAGCGAGTTCCAGAGTTTCAGAGCATAGTTGCTGTCAGCACCACCACCGATGGTAGAGCTGAGGGGATGAGGAGGCCAGAGCCAGCCGAATGGAGGCAGTGAGTGGTGGAGTGGGGGGTAAGCTGATTGGATACTAGGGAGTGTGAGGGCATGAAGAAATTTGAAAATGAGTAAAAGGATCCAAAAGAGAGGTTCGTGTCAATTAGAACAATGGCAATCTACTTTACCAGCTCCAAGCGAGACACCTGGGTTCAATTCCAGGCAGGGCGAAACCTTGGGCAAGTTTCCTTACTCCACACACCTAATAATAATCCCTCCAAAACAAAGTAATAATAAATTGGTCATTTTCAATCCACGACTGTTTGTGGGACACTGCTGTGTGCAATTGGCTGCCGCATTTCGCCCACAAATATACGGTCAATTCACTTTACAGCATATTCTGTGAAGTGCTTTGAGACGTCTAGAAGAAGTGAAAAGCACTATATCAAATGCAAGGATTATTATTATTATTGTTATTATTATTATTATTATTATTATTATTATTATTATCTCTTGAACTCACTCATTAATGATGCACATGACAAATACTAGAACAAGCTCCTGAAAAAGAGGCTGCACAAGCTCAGTTTAAGACACGCAATCCAATTTTGTGACAAACTGGAGAAGTGGGAAGTGTGCTAGTTATAGAAAATTATAAGCCATTGTGCATTCACTATACCTTAAAAACAAACATCACTTCAGCCAATCCGCTTAAGGAAATTAAGGATTTGCCAATGACTGTCCTCTTTCAAATTCCAAACCTATACCTGTGGTTAAAAGAATTCACCAACATGATTTTTTTAATGAAAAAAAAGCAAAAAAGCTCTTGCCATCCAGAGCGTTTTATTCTTTGGAATTAGGTAAGCAGGATGTCTTCGTCCAGGGAGAGAGTGTGCATTCCAATAAACATCTCAGGAATTTTCATGTGTAGGTGGGATGCATGGAACTCTGTTTGGTTTGGATACTCATAAGCAACGTGATGGGTTAGACATCCGGATGACCAAAAGTAATTAAAACAAATGGGTGGGGAGGGGTTTAGCAGGTGCTGAATTTGCTAACACAACTTTAAGTACTGAGTTTGGACCAGGTGGGGGATGTGAAGCTGGCCGGAGCCTGCTGAGCAGAGAGTGCGGAGAGGTTGATACTTTGTTGCCTCTAAATTATCCTACACTTTATCTAAGAGTGCTTGATAGTGATAACAGAAGGCCCAAATGGTAAAGTGTTCAAAATCCCAGATTAACAATCTTCACCTCAAAGAGCACAATTTTAGTTAAATAAAGTTAGAAGGGATTTCACCTTGGGAGGATGTCCCAAATACTTCATGGGATATGCCTAAGAGCAGCACGGGACCGATATTTATCACAGTTTAAACAATAAAGTTTATATTTTTATTTTGACATGCATGAAAACAAAGCTTTTGAAATATTTTTGAAATACTTCATGCATCTGACTTTGTCTTCAACTGGACTAAATAACAATGCAGTTCTATCGCTCATTCCTCTCGTCTTTTTAATCATCGTGAGAGAGCTACCTAGTGGGATCGACCTCATGGTAGCACAAATGCTCAAAAAATTATTTGGAGACCCCTGTCTTAAATGAATGTAACAATTACTGACAAGAAATTGTTGCACGTAAACAGGCATTAAAGTAAAATTGTGTTTGATTTTCACAATCTTTATGCATTTCGAGAGCACAATTCAACTTTTCAAAAATGTTAAATTGAAATTGCTAGACTCATTGCTGTCATCTTCCTCAGCAGCCACGAGCTGGCAAGAATTACAAACAAGATTTTTTGGCTAGCAACTCTCACGTTCCTGATGAGCTTGCCTCATTATAACCCTTACATTTGATATAGTGCCTTTCATATCGGGAGGCTGTTGCAAAGTGCTTCACAGGATTTTACTCTGAAGTTTAGTAACTTTATTTTGCAGTAATAGGTTGCTAGCAAAACAATCTTGTTTGTAATTGTTGCCAGCTCAAGGGCACAATTGCAAATTCAAAGATGAAAAACACTTAATTAAACTTGTTTCATCACATCTACACAAATTGCATAGATTACAAATAAACTGCTGTGTCCAATTTTGGAACACTTTTTAAGCATTTAACTAGAATTTATTTAAATTTTGTATTGCAAGGTTTTATCAATTAAAATTGGTTTATAAAATACATTTGAAACTCACTATTAAGGGAAGTCAATAGATTCTACCCTTATTAGGCAAGGTGTCCTCAGAAAGTCTGGGATTTTGGTCACCATCCGTTTTAAATGAAAAACAGGCTATGAAAACATAGCTCAGGTGACCACAAGGTAAGGTTTTACATTCTTCAGCGTACATTTCTACATAGATGTCTTTTAAACATACCTGGTCCAAAACTTACTGAATATGCAAGTCCACACATAAGTAAGCCGCAAAGTAGCACCCATTTCACAACAGGAGAGACACTCTCAGTTTCGGGTCTTTCCATCATTGGAGAGGATTCATTTGAAGCTCTGATTTTGCTGTAAGACTGGTTTGCTGTAGAAAAGCCACTGGGCAGCAATGAACTGGTGTATGTTTCCAAAGGAGTAGTTCTGGCAGCTATCAAGTTGTAATCCACTGTTATAATATTATCTTGCAAATGACTTGTGTGGTTTGGCTCAATACAGATATGAATGAATTTCATTGGGATGTTGTAACTTGCTATTCCAATTATGCTCAGTGACACCATCATAGCAGCAGCTCCAACGCATAGTAAGGTTCTGCGTCCTACTTTGTCCACGAAGAATATTACCACAATTGTGCCAAACATTTTTACCAATCCTAAGCCAACTGAAGCCAGAGTTGCTGCTGAAACACTTTCAAATCCAACAGATTTTAACATAATAGATGAATAGAATAAAAGATTTGGTTGGCCTGTAACTTGCAAAAAAAAGGTCAAACTAATTCCTATTAGCATTCGAAAGTTCATGTTGCTTTTTGAACTAAACATGTCTAAACATTTATAGTTGGATTCATTATTCAAGAAAGACTTTATGTTATTCAGTTCCCCAGATGTTTCAGAATAGAACCTGGTCCTTTTTAAAATAAGATTGGCTTTTTCATCCTCACCCTTCTTAATCAGAAAATAAGGGCTTGATGGAATGTAGAATACTCCGATGATTTGTAGTAGTGCTATTGGGATCACAATACCAAATGTGAATTTCCATCCATTTGAAATGTTGACAAAACTAAAATTGACAACATAAGCCAACAGAATGCCGAAAACAGCCATCAGTTCAACCATAGATACCAGCAAGCCTCTTTTCGCTGCTGGGGCAATTTCCGATATGTAAGCACATGTTGCAATCATGCTTAAAGTTATGGAGATTCCATTCACAATGCGGCCTGCAACAAGCAATGCGTAGGAGGAACCCATTGTTAAAACACTTCCCAGTATAAGACCACATGAGGTTGCAATGATGACCGTTCTTCTTTCCAATCGGTCCATGATATATCCACCAGTGGAGGCGCCCACAATGCCTCCAATTAGGATTACACTCACTACTATTTCCTGCTGGTTGCATCCAAGTTGTAAAATTTTCTGTAGCTCCAGAATAGCTCCAGATATATTTGAATAAGAATAGCCAAAGAGAAGTCCACTTATAGCAGCGATTATAGATGAAACAACCACAATAATCTTAATAGATCCTAAAAAATAAATTGTTTTCAATTGAAATATGAACTTAGATTGGAATGTATGAGAACAATAATGCAACCAATTCATTTTAATTTGATATCGTGGTTAGCAAAACTAAAGGAGGGAAGTTGTAACAAACATTTTACTGAAGAAATTTGTCAAATAAGAGGTTTGTATCAATCCAAAAGATTTCCACTGAATCAGAACAGCAAAGGCTCTTCTGGATGTGTCCAAGACCCTAACTGCATGAATGGCGCTATATAAATGGAAGTTGTGCTGTTGTCTGTGGAAGTCTTTCTCGGTCATCAGCAATCGCAAATCAATCATCATCAACATCATTAGCATCCATTTATATAGCGCCCTTCATGTAGGATGGCTCAGATGCCGAGCAGGAAAGAGGGGACCAGCTACCCATTAGAGTTTTGGCATGCAGAGTTAACCAGACCCAAGTGGGAAGAATCCCTGCCGCCATTGACTGGTCTGCTCCTCCAAGTACTAACGATAAGCCAGGCTGGCTGGTCTATCATCAGCAATACTCTGTAGTACTGTGGACCTGTCTGACTCAAGAATCAGATGACCGAGACTGCCACAGAGAGTCAACTCGATTCTGACATTCTAGTTGCCGAACACATCACCTTGGAGTCAGCCCAGCAGCAAGGAGACCTGACGTATGTCCTTCCCTCACCTCCCCCCTCCCAAGGAATACAATTACTAGTTGAAGAACCAGTACTGACCAAGGTTGGACTTGATAAAGGTGTCTGTCTCGATGGCCCAACGGAAGAGGTAGTGGCAGGGGAAACCAATATTTCGGAGGTGTGAGATTTAACAGCAGTTCCCATAATTTTAGAATGTAAACACAACATTTCTGAAAATATTATTTTCAAGAATGTAACAGCGTTTAATATTTTTACCTTCCTTTGGTGTTGGCTGGTTCAAAGAATTGTACATAAATGAGTTGGAAGGATCAACATTCACAGCAACCTGGCTGAGTTGTAGTTCGCATTCTACCTCGTTGTTCATTGTTATGATTTATTGTAGAAACACCCTAAACAAGAAGTAATATTTATTTAAATAATGTAGAAGATTGCAAATAGATTCAGGAAGATAATATTCATTTAATAATTCTTGCATTTGGTATAGCACCTTGCCATGTCTTTGAGATGTTTCAAAGTTCTTCACAGGAATTTATTGTGAAGTGTATTGAATGTGCATTTGTAGGCACACAAGAATAGGTTTACAGCATGGGCAGATTAAATTTAATATAGGGAATTGTGAAGTGATTCACTTTGGGAGGAAGAATAAAGAAGCTCTGGTGGTGGGAACATAAAAGGAGTAGAAGAACAAAGGGTTCTATGGATTCATATTCACAAGACTCTAAAAATAGCCAGCAGGGTCGAGTATGTTGGGACTTCCTCCCGACGTGCAAGACACTATATAAATTTGTATTGTATGAGCATGTCATGTAATTAATGGTAAACAAGCAGGTTCTGCATTTCAGTCAAATAAAATTCCACAGCAGTGAAAGTGTACAGAAAATATACCCCATACAGCAGGTATGGTGTCAATTCATACATGGCATAAAACACGTAAATAAGACATTTAATATAGAGAAATATGAAGCAATTCACTTTGTTAGGCAGAATAAAGAAGCTACCTATATGATAGATGGTGGCAACTTACTTCAGGTTATGGTTACATGGATTCCAGCATCACTGTTGATATTTTGTCCAACATGATCATTCTTATAATAATAGTAATCCTTACATTTGTAACAGTGTCCTTCACATCAAGATGATGCCCAAAGCACTTCACAGGGTATACTGTAAAGTATACATTCTTTGTATTTTGTAGGCAAATGCAGCAGTCAATTTGCATACAACAATGCAATACAAAATTACATTTGTATAGCGCCTTTCACGTCAGGAGGATATTCCATGACATTGGACAGTCAGGGATTTATCTCAAACAGCCGTGAAGTGAGACCAATTTTTCTGTGGAGGCTTATTACCCATGACACCGGCAGAAAGTCCCTTCTCTCTTTGAATAGTGCAATGGGATCTTTAATTCCACTTGAACCTCGCTTTAATGTCTCATCCAAAGCACAGCAACTCCAACAATGCAGCACTCTCCCAGCGATGCACTGGAGTGTCAGCCTCTATCTGTTCAAGGCTTGACATGGAGGTTGGACCCATAACTTTCTGACTTAGAGGTGACAATGTTACCAACTAAGACAAGCTAACAACAGAGCCCTGCTTCACATTTAAAAGAGGTCAAATAAACAGCACCTTGGCTGATCATTGAAACAGGATTAAAACACAAAACACGCCTATCTGTAATTGTATTTTCTCAGGCAAAAATGACAATTGTTTTTCCAAAGAGGGACCAAAAATTTCTTCAGCGTTATTTCAAAACTCTGATAATGCAAATCTGTTTACAAACCCCATATTAAAACTGGCTTCCTGGATGGGTTCAGCAGCTGCACCATAAAATCCTACCGAACAGGATAGTTTAGTCTGGCACTTCAAATTTGGTTTGAGCCAACTAGGCGGGGAAAAAAGTAGGTAAGCATTTTGTTGCTATGATCAAATAAAATTTTACAGAAGTGAAAGTGTACAGAAAATGTACACCATAGAGCAGATATAGTATCAATTCATACATGACATAAAACAGGTAAATAACATGGATTGGATACTCTTAAGCATGGTAATGGAATCTACATGCGTCAGACAACTAGCTCACCACGAAAAAAATCACAGGACACTCTCATACCTTCCTCACTGGTTATTTGGCCCTCTTCTGCTGGCTTCTAAAGCTGCCAATAACGTATACCCAGTGCTCATTGATACGTGACTCTGTTTCCCCAGCAGATTGCTTAGTACTTCCTTGCACTACGCCAGTACTTATCAGTACTTTCCCGCTGCTCTCTTACTTCACTAACTCATATATTTTTAACATGATATCTACCTTTAGTAGGACAGAAAAAATCTACTTTGTGCTGGCAGGCTCCTGCAAATTTTCTTTTAGGCCATTCTGAGGTGGAGTTACAAAGAACTACCTACCATAGGAAATGCAAAAGAGATGAGGTGATATTCAAAATAGGTTTAATCATAAACACTCTTTGCCCTCCAGAGTAAACATCATAGGTACAAGTACTACAGTGTGACGAAACTGACCTGGTGAGAAACTACAGCTTTCTCGATGTGTAAAAATGCCTGTTAGTTTGCATCAAATATATAGTCACTACACTTCACAGTAAAATCCTGTGAATTGCTTTGAGACATCTCAACAAAATGATACGATCCTGTACAAATGCAAGGATTATTATTTATTAATAATAATAAATATAACATGACTTTTCTCACAGTCACGTTTTTTCTTTGTGGGATCTGGTTGGCAGTTTCCATAGAGACTTAATTTCTGGTTGGTGAGGCTCAGCTGCTGTAAAGTACTGAAGAATGCAGATAGTCCACATTTTTTAGGCTATTGTGATGGGTTTCCAAATGCATAGTTTCTACTGAACTTTACCCTGCAGGTGGATGTTAAAGATGCCATAGCAATATTCAAAAAATCCCCCCAGATAAATTAATCATTCACTTTCTGAGTCAGGCGGATCTGCAGTACTCCAGCGTACTGCTGATGACAGCATCATTGGCAGGACTTGGAAGGGCAGACCAGTCACTGGGAGCAGGGAGTCATCCCATTCAGCTCCTGTTAACCCTGCAAGCCAAAGCCCTAGTGGGGAGGGTGATCATAGCTGGACAAGCAGTGGGAAAGCTTGTCAGACTCAATGGCAAGCTATACAGTTTTAGCTGGTTAGACTCCAGCAGTACCCCAACGCACACTCTGGGGTCCCCAAGCCTTGGCTCTTGCCAACCTGAGCTTAATAGGATCCGGCTCCTCCAGCCACCCTCTCATGTCTCGCCCATCCTCACCTCCAGTGTCAACTGCGAAGCAATGCTGGTCAAGAGAATCCGCTCAGCTGCCTTTGTTGTTGGTGTTGTTGTCCCACTCCCAAAATAAATAAAACGATAAAATAAATAATAAAATACTCACTCTTCTCTCTTCTAACTAAGCCCACCACAAAAAAAGGTGGAGAGATAAACCTAATCAACATCAGGAGCTGAGAGAGAAACAAATGCACCACAAATCTAATACTGCAAATAAACACATAAACAAAACACTTTTGTTCACAAAGATCTGGCTTTGATCCACTTTGATCCAGAGAAAGTTCAAAGAAAGCTCCCCTCTCACCTCTTGTTTTAAAAAAAGTCAAATATCTGGACGTATCCTCAACATACTGCAAACAAAATAAAACCACTGGTATTTTCTGAACGTGCCTCGAGCAAGCACAAAGTTGAGGCTGCAAAGGTTCACCTGCTGCACAGTGTCTCTGCTTCTCTCAGGAACCTGACAGCGCCTGTGGCTATGATTTGCATATGATCTTTCTTCCACTGTCACACAGCAGCCAATGAGCCCACCCCATTCTACACACACCTTGTCAGCCTCACCTGAGGGAGGAACTGACTGACACTTCACGAAAAGATTGTGTGTAAAAGGAGCACAATTTGTCCCATCTTGTCTGTGACACTGCTACCTGTTTTCTCTCTTTCACTGCAGAAAGCCCCTGATTCAGTTCACTCTCTTTTTCTGTTTTTCAGTTCATTCTCATTTTCTTATTCACTTTCCAGCTCTCCCTCTCCCCCTATCAATTAATATTCTGCTGCTCAGTTGTTTATCTAATAATAATAATATTCCTTACACTTGATATAGCTCCTTACCACATTGAGATGTCCCAGTGCACTTCACAGAATATGCTGTAAACTGGACATTTGTGGGCAAACATGGCAGCCAATGTTGCACACAGCAGTGTCTCACAAACGGCCATGGAGTGAATGACCAATTTCATTCGGGGCATTTGTTAGCCAGGACACCGAGAGAAATTATTCTTCTTTTTGAATAGTGCCATGAGATCTTCAACGTTCATCATTTAATTCCCTTTTGACGATTCCCCTCCTTGCTCATTGATGATTTTATGTGGCCTCACTTGTACTCATGATTCCAAGCCCAAATTACAGTCTACAGTAAGTCACAAATGGATCTCAGACAGGTGTTTGCGATTGCATTGGTTTCCTTGTTGCTGAGACAATATTGCTCGACAAAATCAATCCATAGAAATCGAGTACCTTACTTTAATGACAAACACGATTTTTAAAAAATTAAAGAAAATAAATAACAAGTAATGCTTACAATGTTGGTATAGATATCACACAAACTCAGGTTCTGCTTGCCTAATGAGTAAGGCTTCTCTCACTTCACCCACGGTTGGCACCATCTGTCCCAACTGGTCAGATTTCAGTGAGTAATGGATGGCTCCCGGAGCTGCGGGGCTGCGATTGGTCCATGGGGAGCAGGAATTGGGGCCTTCAACTACAGTTTGTCCAGATGCTTCGCAATTCTTCACCCTGGGCCTCGTGGACCCTGGACCCTGTGAATCCATCTCGGCCTCACGCCCCCCAGGTGTGCACTACTTGAGTTGAATGGTCCATTTCCCTGCTGTATCTCTCCATGTAATTTTATGTCACATTGAACCCAAGCATCCAGAAGCCAGAGATATTCACAAAAAATATTGAGCAGTGCTTTCCACATGTTCAAAGTATCTGAACCAATGCCATATGAAGGGGGAGCAATGTACATTCAGGTATGTTCAGAAATATAAATACATTGTTTAATACTAAGTGCAACACAGTGCTGTTGGAATGCGCTTCTTTATAGCCTAGATTTGCCTATAACGAAAGGGCTCAGGATTGTGATGTAAAATAGGGGCGCAATTTGTGAGTGGACTTGGGAACCAATCCCCAGGGCATTCAAGAGTCAATCACTGGGATGTTTGGGAAATTTCTCGATTTCCTACATAGCCAGTTCACGGCTGCCAATGTGGACCTCATTCACTGTCCATGTACAGTGAATAAGTTTATATTTACACTTGTGTTGAAAAATTCCTATGAGAGGAAAGAAAAATG